ATCCATTGCTTCGGATTACAGTTACGTATTGCTCAAAAAATTAGCATGTTGAGAGTTAATAGTATATACATACTAGAACTATTTATTTTTTAAATTAATCCAAATTTTCTTTGAAAAAATGATGATAAAAACAGTTTCTGTTGAACTTTTGGCACAAAAACATTTAAAATTTATGATTTCAAGTCTAATAATATTTGTTCAACATGATTAATAATTTTATGTCAGTGATGACCGACATTGATAATAATTATTGAGATTCCAAATATTCCAAGAACAATTATTCGTAGCCATTTTTACAAAGAGACTTTTTTTACGTAAAAGCGTTGTAAATGTATACGTACATATTTTTACTCAGTAGTTTTATACAGGTATGGACGAAAAGTTATTAGTCTTCAAACCAATTAAAAATATGTAGGTGGCGCAAGTAGGAGTCATATTGACATCAAAATCAAATTTCTTATATCAAAAAACTCCCAGATACCAATTTTCATCCAAATATTGACGTTACTTCATAATTATTTGAAAAAAAACTAAATAAAATTGAAACGTCTACACCCTGTATCTCCGAAACTAAGCATTTTAGGGCATACATTTATACATTTTTTTTACTTATTTTTATCTGCAGAATATGCCGCCAAAGTTTCCGGAATACAGTTCCGACCACCCTGTATACAGGATGTCCTCGAGGGTGTCCCAGAAATAAGTGCAAGTATTTTAAGAGGTGGTAGATCTTGATAAAAGAAACGTATTTTCTCTTTGTGGTTTTTCAAATAAGTCCTAAATAAGGGAGTTATTTTACTTCGAAAATTTCCAAAAAAAATGATTTTTTGCTAAAATTTTGAGAACCACTGAATCATTTCTGGATTTTCTTTCTTGTAAATTTAATCTAATACCTATTATCAGAAATTATGTTTTTTAAATAAACACTAAAAAAAAAATTCCAAAAATTTTTTCAAAAAATATCGGTTTTTCAAAATAAATTTCGCGAAAAAAACCTCATAGGCGTGTTTCTGGGGTTGAACTATACTACCAGTTAAAACACTTGCACTTATTTCTGGGACACCCCGTATAGGATATTTTGAAAAATGTAATATTTTCCAAACTTTGGATTATAAATGTCTTTTTAAAAATTTTCCCAAAAATTGTTTCTTTTCGAGACAGCCCTTCGATGAAAGTAAACAAAAAAAAAACAAATGAATTAATCTGAGTAGTGGGAGTAGTCAATGGCGGCGCTGATTAGAATAATGTCCGACGCTATCTAAGAAATACCTTTGGCGCCGTACGTCGTGCCTAGAAGACCGGGCGTATAGTTAAACTTGGCGTTAGCGTCTATCGAGTACATCTGGCCTGAAACATAAAATCGGATGCTAATTGCTGTCCTGACAAGGAATCGATGTGCCACTACGTATTTTGCACACTAGAAGCCTGTAAAAGTGGGTAATTGTCGAGGGGGAAAGGTGCATTGTTTTGGGGGAAAGTGAATAGCTGAAAAGTTATGGGACGTGTTTATTACCTTGCCAATAGTAGCTGCCTGGAGCTCCAACAAAAAGACGGTCGCCCACCTGGAAAAGAAAAATTATTGTTAGAAAATATAATTATTGGACAATGCTAATTACAATTGGTATTATATTAGTTTAAATTTTAGATGTCTATTGGCCTATTATTGGACAGATAATATTATTTTATTATTATTATATTATATACCATATTCCTCGTTTGATCATTCAAGGAAAAGTCGAAGGTAGAAGATGAGTAGGTCGAAAGAAACTTTCATGGCTGAGAAAT